GCATTTTGTTTTAATTAAAACGGCACCGTTTTAAGTAATAGAAGTCATTTAAAAAGCGCCTCCAAATGTGTTAACAGTGTTTCTCTCTCCAAACCCTCAAATCTCTCACCAACTTATTTTAATCTGAGAAACTCTACAGTCTCAGAAAAACCGATCCCCCAAATCTGACTCACTCGCTCTCTTTCTCTCTCTCTCTCTCTCTCTCTCTCTCTCTCTCTCTCTCTCTAAGTCCTTCAGCTCCTTCAACTCGATTCAACCTTCTTCAGCTCAGTGATTCATTATTCAGTCGATCTAATCTCAGAATGATTTTGATTTTGAAGCTCCACCGCCACGATTTCGATTTCAATCCAATCTCAGTTTCATCGATTCTTCGCTCTCTCTCTCTTCCTTCGGTCGATTCTTCTCCTAGGGTTTACAATCTTGAATCTCCTTCTAGGGTTTGGATCAACTCTCCTCTTGCCTGACTTGCGCCTTGCGATTTAATGCAGTAAATTCTCTCTCTGCTCATGAAGTTCATATTTAATTATAAATTTGTTGTGAGAGATTTGAATTTGAATCCATGTGTTCATTCGAATATGAATTTATAGTTATCAAATCGTGAATTCAATCTGTAATGCTATGATGTTGAACTTGAGTGATTGCTTTCTCATGAATTTTTTGATACAATATTAGCATTTTAGCATTGTTCATATTTTAACTACCTTTGATGTTTGCTCTAAGTTTATATTGCAAGGTTTCCTATTCTTGACCAAAACAATGTAGATAGATTTTCATAGCAGTTTATATTGCTCATTCTGTGTTTTTGCTATTAGTGGATGCAGAATTTATTCTTTGTGAAACAGGGACCTTTACCTTTATGATTTTTCTTTGTTCCAGCTGTTCATCTTAATGTATGGTATCCATCTTCATATACCACTTTTCCCTCATCTATATTTGCTTTTATTTTATGGTGTATGCTTTTTGTACATAGTTTAATTTATAGGGACTAATTTTTTTAAATTTTGAGTCTTCATTGTAACGACACCTATCAGGTTATGGTTAATATACACTACAGGCAATGAGTTAATAACAGTTTATGCTTATTTAGACAAATCACATAACATAAATATAAATTGGTGTGAATTTGTTGTACATCATATCCAACATGAACAATATACAAAGTGCAATAAGAAATGATGTAAGTTAAGTTTTGTTTTTAATGTTATGATATCTTGTTAAGTTAAGTTTGTGTGTATATATCTTTGTGTGTTCAAGAGTATTGTGTCTTTTGTGGGAGTAGCCAAGGCAAGTAGAGCACCTACCAAGCTGATGTTGAACTTAGCAAGGAATTGGTATTGTTTTCATGAAACTTTAATGGCCTTGTTTTTCTCGGATTTTTATGGTCTATTTATTTCAAATGGATTTATCTATTTTCTTGCATAGACTTTGTTACAAAATTTTTTTTGCCTAATTTGACTTTGGTCTCTTGAAGGTTTCAAGGAACATTGATCAGGTCTACGGAGGAGATAGCATAGGCCTCATGGGTTTGTAAATAGTAATTGTTTAATCTTATAGAAAAATTGGTGGCTGTACATTTTTGACATCTTTTTCTTCACAAATGAAAGTTCTGCATCTAGTTTTTGTTAATTTATTTTATCTTATTTTTGGGATTGGAGTACGTAAGAATTTGAGCTCTGCATAAAAAGCTCTTTTCCTCCCTTTTTTTAATGGCTGAAGATCTCTGTTTTTTTCCATAAGGTAATTCTGTTTCATTTACTACTCACCCTTTTTTTTTGTATTTTATTTTAAGTGCAAGGTTGTTCTTTGATATTGGAAATAAGATTTGTATTATTAGATGTAGTGCACCCTACATCTAATGGAAATAAGATTTGTATTATTGATTTTTTTCCCCATTATGCTAACCATAGTAATAGCATTCTATACATTCACTGTTGCAGGGTTCAGTGAATTACGTATGTCTCCATTGTGTTAAACCAAGCATGGCTATGTCTACCGTTGCAATTCACATCCTCGGTGATGTGCCTTCCTCTCCACTTGTTGGGATTCTCTAGGTTTGCATTCATATCCTCAATAGCTTCCATCTTGCAAACAGTTTTAGGTATTTATTTGCTAAACCAATACTCTTAATATTGTTGGATCTTGTTTCATGACTCCCTTTCTTGAAGTAGTGGGGTTCACTAGTAATGACTTAGACGGTCACGATCATGGACACAACAATGGAATGTTTATTTAATTAATGGAAGTTCTATTGCAACTCTTAAGTTTTGAGTTTTGATAAGCCATCTATATTTTCTTTGTTGTCCCATTTTTTTATAACCTTTTGGTTGAGGTAGTGGGTGATGGACTCAACATCTCTCCCTACTATTCTAGATATAGATATATATATATATATATATATCCCATTTCTGTCTTCTCTAATTATGCCCATATTTATTACTTAATGTCCTAATTTTGATGATTCTTTAGGATCATATTCACAACTGGAGAAAGACTACTCTGATACTAACATCCATTCTGTTTCTGGCAGCTAGAATATGGTTTATAGGTAACGTTTTCAATGTGAAATTGTTTTTTTTTTTTAATTATTTTAATTTAGTTTTTTGCTTGATTTTGAGATCTGTGCATTGTAAAATTTTCATTGATGTGTTGAACTGCACTATCAGATCTGGATTGTGCTTTCAGTCCTTTGTTTGGTTGTTGAGAAAACTAAGAAAAAATTATTAGATAATATAAATGTAGATTGTTGAGCACAAATTTCTTTTGAGATTTATGATAAGAAGGAATTGCAGTTTATGGGTAGAGTTGGAAATCAACAAACACAGTTTGGTTCTTCAAAATCATGAAGAGATTACAGCAGCCAGGTAATATTTTGTGCTTGTCATTTCGAAGTTTCTAATCATTTGTCTCAATTGAGGTGTTTTGTCATTTTTGTTACTGAATTGAGAATATTGATTGTACCTCTGGAATGCCGGTTTCCAGTGCAGCGAAAAACAAACACTGCAATCGGCTGCTTGACACGTCAAGAGGAGGAAAGCTTCTTCATTGCATTGCAGCAAGTTGGCAAGGCATTTTTTGCTATCATGGTTTTTTTTTTTGGAATTATTTCTTATGATATATCCTAACATGACTATATGATGTCTTTTAACAGAATTTCGACTTTGTCTTGAGACCAAAAATTCTAAAGATACTAAGCTACAATGCTTCGATGGTAACCAGAAACTATGCCCTCTACGTAATGTCTATTTATATATTTTGGTAACTCTGCAAATTTCTCTTAAACTAGCAACATGTATGTGCACTTATGTCCTTTTGATTATATTTCTAAGGAGATGTAGTGATGTTGAATGAACTTATGTAGGGTGGGTTATTCTGTGAATGAAGCCCTCATCTAATTGAGTAGGTTTCATCTTCAACTACCTAGGTGGGATGTACTTTAAGATGACATTAAAGACTCTGAATAAGAGTTGTAGAGTTTCCAAGTAATACTGGAAGTTATTTTTGTTATAAATAAATATACCTTGAAAATGTATGGAGATTGTATTGTGTTTCTTTGATTGTGGAATTTCACTTTGTTATGATTGTGGAATTTCACTTCATTATTTTGTACTATGTGAATTCTTTTGAGAATGCAGCCAGCTCCATAGAAACAAGTGTTGTTGCTGCTGAGAATGTAGCACGACTCATCCTATCGAGATCTCTCTAGTCAAGTCAAATCAAGTTCATCAAACTTGAAGAGCTCTAGCCCTGATGCAGACGATTTGCATTCAGATTTGTAAGTTAAATTTGCAATCACGATCCTATTCAATCCAATGTATAAACCTTGGTTTGTTTGTATGTGAATTTTTGTTTGTATGTTTGTGTTTGTGGCATAAAAAACATGTTTTACAGTTATGTCCAGACTAATATTACTAAGTCATGTTGGATTGAATAAACAATGTTGCAGTTTGAAAATGTTTGTACATTATTGTAATTCTGAGCATATCCATCTGTCCTAGACTACTGCTTTTCTTCTCTCTCTCTCTCCATTAATCAAATAACCTAACATCTATTTATTTTCTGTTACATACTTTTTGATGTCTTAATATATATTTTTTCTTCTTATTATTGTGTTGCTTTCTCTCTTTTTTTTTTTTTTTTTTTTTTTTTTTTTTTTTTTTTTTTTTTTTTTAAATCATAGTTGCACACTAATTGCAAAGCTTTTGTTCGACTTTTTCTTTTCTTTTCTTTTCTTTTTCTTCTAAGGTGTTTCAGAATCTCTCTCCCCTCATTTGGGGACATTTTTTGCTGAACTTTTCGCTTTTGAAAGTTAATTCTAAGATTTTAGTTTTTTCTATTTACTGATATTGCATGATCCAACCAACTACCATGTTTTATGATATAAAACCCTCTCTTTTTGTTCTCTCTCTCTCTCTCTCTCTTTCTCTCTGCTTTTCTTTTTTAATGAGGTGCAAAGTTTCTCCTACTAAGTTGTCCATTGTATATTCTTTTGAAAGTTAAATTGTTTCTGAAGCTCTTCACATGATTTTATAAATGTTCAAAGTAAAAAACACTTGAAGTCTTCGTCTATAACTAATTTAATGTTGGCTAGCCTGCATATATTTGTAAACAAATTTTTATTTGGTTATTACTGTGCTAACCAAGGTTTCAACCGGAGGCATTTTGTATTGTTCAATGAACCCTTTTTACCAAAAGAAAACAAAAGATCATGTACTTATGTTTCGAATCAACTCCAAAGTCCTGAAATTTTTTTGCAACAAAATGATGATGGGGTATATCTAACCAGTTCACATAATACAGAAGACTTTGGAACCTTGTAGTCCAAGCCTAAAATGTTTAAAAATCGATTTTTGGACTTTGTACGCCTTGGTTCAGTCCTCAATAATGCTGCTGAATCTTTTTTCAAGAGTGAAATACGGCGAAGATTTATTGTGACAGTTGTGTTAATTGTGATCAGTCATGTTAGTTAGATACTGTGTGGTAGTGATATGGTATTTCAGGATGATGCACTGCCTGATGGAACTGAACTAGCTTATTTTGTTCGTGGGCAGGTTGTTAAGATGAGCATATACATATTATTATTTTGGTTTAAGGAAATGTTTATGTTGCTTTTTATAAAGATCAAATGTATTAAACAATTAACATATTTTTTTATTTTTGTGGAAGCAACGCTTTCCTAGTGAAGCGCTTTGTTGTGATATGTATTTGTTTTCTGATTACTTGTCATCTACAGAAATGCGCAGAAGGTTATAAGAAGGGTTTTGGAATATTTTGCTTTTGCTGCCAAAGTGGGGTACTTTTTTTTTGCTGCTCGACTTACATCTTTATTTGATTCTCATTGAGGTGTTTACTGTTTCAACATTTGTAAGCAGGTCAGCCCTTCTCAGTTTGAAGCACATGCGGGTTGGGCTTCTCGTCGCAAGCCGTGAGTGTTCTTTTGATATTTTTGAGAGGTGTAGTGAACATGTGGTTTCTGTGACCATTTATACATCATTAGATAACTTTTTTTCCAGTAATGCAGTTACCTACACATCTATACATCAAATGGAGTGTCTCTCTATGAGTTGTCTTTGAAATTGTCACAACTGCAGAAGTTATCTGCCGAGGAAAACGATGATCTTTGCTCAATCTGTGCAGATAGAGTAGATCTTTTATGTTGTGATAATTGCCCAAGAGCTTTTCACCCAGGTGATTCAAGTTTCTTGAATGACTTTCCTTTAAGTCTTTTAATTTCTTTTCTGGTTTTGGTAGCTCCAATTCCCTGGATGCTTGCCTCTGTCTTTTCTTGTGCTGATGTCTTGTCTACAGGTTTTTTTTCTTTATACTCAAACCTTTTTGCTGTTTGTTCAATTTTCTGAATTGCGCTAGTGTAGAGTGGTTGAACAGTACTTTGTTTATCTTTATCCATTTCTTAAGTAATGCATTCAAACCACTTATTGACAGCATTGTATGATTACTTGTTTTGTTCAATTGTAGAGTGTGTTTCTCTACCTAGCATCCCCAGTGGTACTTGGTATTGCAAATATTGCGAAAACATGTTCCAGAAAGAAAAATTTGTGAAACACAATGCAAATTTTGTGGCAGCTGGAAGAATCACAGGAATAGATCCTCTAGAACAGATAACCAAGCGTTGCATCCACATTGTTGAAACTACAGAGACTGATGTTGGTGGATGTGCACTGTGCAGGTTGTATTCACACTCTTTTTTTCTCACCATAATTTCTCTTTAGAAGCTTAAGCTGTCTCTTAATAGTTTACATAAGCCTTCACCAATAGAAGGCTCTTGAAAATGGTTCCACTAAACAGAAACATTTTTCAATTTGGTTATAGAAATTCTTGCCTCCCATGGACCAAATGCATGCAAAAACTCTGTTGTGTGGTGTCTTTTTGCTAAATTCTGCAATTCAGTTTTGTCTCTTTTTCTTTTATTTATTTTTTTCTTTCATAATCATCATTTGTGAGCTTATATTTTTGATGATGCATGCAGGGGCCATGGTTTCAGCAAATTAGTATTTGGCCCTCAGACAGTTATACTGTGTGGCCAGGTATTTCGTTGATGTACCAGTTTTTAAGTTTACTAATTAACATCGACGTTACAGGAGACACCTTCCCTCTTGGTGGTGCTTTCGACGAATCAATTGTTCATCACAAGGTGTGCTTCTTCAATCCCAAACTTAACAAGAAGTTATTTAATTAATAATTTGACTCTTAACAAACTTGAATAAATACTATTTATGCAGTACTTCGAGTACAATTTGGATTCAAAAAATTCTACTTACAGCACCAAGAATGGAATTTACTCAGAATGTTATGAACTAGATAATGTAATGATATCGTGGGGGCATGACGATTACATGCATTTGGTATGTGCCTCAGTTTCACCTCGTTAGAAAATATTCAAGTATTTAGTCAAATTTCGATCTTTAATGCTATAAAAACAGGTTGTTAATGTAATTTGGATTTACATTTTTCAGGTGGCTAAGGAACATGGAACGACTTTGCCTCCAGCTGCATTGTTCATCATCCGATACCACTCTTTTTATCGTAAGCATTTATGCCAAAATATTTTTTTTCAAATTCCAAAAATTAGTTTTTAATAAATAACATGCATATCTGGATCATTCATCTTGCAGCATTACACAAGTCAGGAGCATACACACATTTGATGAATGGGGATGATGTTGAGAATTTGAAGTGGCTGAAAATTTTCAAGTAACCCATTTTTTTTAGCATTTTGTTTTTAATTTCATGTGTTATGCCAATATAACTAACAAAGTTTATTGTTTTGCATAAACATTCTCGAATTTATGCAGCAAATATGACCTCTATAGTAAGAACAAAGTGCGCATTGATGTCGAGAAGGTCAAGCCATACTATCTTTCTCTTATTGAGAAGGTGAGCACTGCACTAGTCATGAAACTAGGTGTGTAGAAACCATTTACAAAATAGTTCACTCACAAGGAGCATCTTATGAGTTCCGTGACCAGTTTCTATGCACATCTATTTTTCAAATTTTTTCTTTTTCTATCTTGATTTTTCGCATTCTTAATTAGTGAACTTTTTTGCAGTATTTCCCAGCCAAGCTGAGATGGTGAACATTCCAAATTGAAGACATTGATTTGAGAAATCACAGATTTTATTTTATTTTTCTTTTTGTGATTGATTCATGCACTTGTATAAAACACAACAGAGATTTGTGGGTTCTTTGTAAATCCTCTGATGTGTTCTAAAAATGTTCTATCAATAAACAATTTAAATGCATTTGGCGGGATGTAATTTCATTCCTTTGGCATTTGTTTCTTTTAATTTCTACTGGATTGTTGATGATGAGCTTTTCTGTAGATATTATACTCTCTCTATTAAATGCTTTTGCCCAAGATAAAGCATACACAGGTAGAATGATGTTGGGATTGAACTTATTGGATTTTTTTCTTGAAGGATGTTGTATTGGGTACTATTGTAGACGTGAGGGAATAGTAATCTCACAGAAATATATGTATATACAAAGTTTTATTCATTATTGCTATTTTACATATATATTTTTAAAGTTAAATCTTACAAAATTAGTAGTTTGAAAAAAAAAAAAATCTATTTCAGCGTTTTTCAAAACGCCACTATAGCTATATTTTTAAAATAACAAAAAAGCTATTACAACGTTTTTTGAAACATCGTTGAATGCCTGTGTAACGTCATGTTATCGTTGGCTGCCACATTTAGCAGCGTTTACTATACTAATTTTACGACGTTTTTAAAGCGTCATAAACTTACAGTGACGGTCGCATCCTCGGCGTTTGGTGGTAAGCGTCACTAAATGAATTAGCGGCGTTTTTCAGACATATAGCAGCGTTTTTAAAACGCCAGTAAAAGTCATTTTTCCAGCAGAGAGAGTTTGAAAGTTGAAGAGGATAAGGGCATTTTTGACATGGTAAATTGTATGCTAAGGTGTTGTTTGGTAATATTTATAGTTCACTAATTATTTGGTAAAGATGAAATTGTAAAACATGTTTGTTACGCACATGTATTTTAAAAATAAGTTAGAAGGATAGTTGGTAGGAGATGGTGACTGAAGGTGGTTGTTGATTGACAAAGGTGGTTGCTAAAGTTGGTTGTCAATCACTCGAGGTGGATTCCAGCAAGATGTAGTTGTCGTTAGTAGGAGGTGGTCGGTATTGGCCAAAGGTAGCTGCTAGCCATGAGCAATGGTGGTCAAAAGAGGTTGCCAACGACAAAAAATAGTGGCTAGGAGTAGTTGTTAGTCGACAGAGATAGCACCCCAAAGTGCTTTCTTAAATAAGGTGGTGGTTGAAAATAGTGTTACTAGTTGGCAGAGATTAGAAATGGTTCACATCTGCAAGAGGTAGTTGACATATGAGGTCACCTATGATGGTGGCCGGGGGTGGGGTGACCGGATGTGGTTACCTATGGCAGTGATGAACGGTAGGCGCCGATCAGAGGGAGTGGAAAAATAAGCAAAGATTTATTTATTTATTTTTACACAAATGAAACTAACTTGTGGTTACAGAAATTTAATACATTTTGTAAATTGCTTACATGTCTTTGAAAACAAAATAGACACTAAATAAGTTTTTGTTTACAATTTTAAAAACTTTTGTGAATATAAATAGAGGATTAATTACATTTTTGGTTTCCAAAGTATGAGTTTTGTGTCATTTTAGTCTATAATATTTAAATTGTGTTAGTTTAGTTCTCAATATATAAAGTCTTTCAATTCGATCCCCAATGGTAAAAAAATTACAAAATAAGAAAAATTAATTTTTAATTTAGCCTCCTAATCTAACTCCATTAACAGAGGTCATTAAAATTAGTAATAAATGCAAAAACTCATTTAAAAAATTATATTTTTAGCTTAAAAAAATATGTTATATGTGTCACTTAAGTGGGAGTTCACTTAGAAAATTCACTTTTAGTCTGTAATATATGTAATATGTATCATTTTGATATTCAAAATTATATATTTATCCTTGACTTTAGGAAAGGTTATGGTATGCACTTTTTAACTATAGAAAAAAATGACATAATTTTATACTTTCTGAATTATAATTAAAAGAAAAAATCATAATTAAACACACAAATGTCATAACCAAATATTTCAAAATAATGTTATAACTAAAGAAAAAAAATGACGTGACCTAAGGTGCATATGGTATAAGTGTGTGTAAAATAGAATTCTCCTTAACTTTAATATTGTCCCTTGATGGAGTTTAGTTTAGGGGGACCAAATTAAAACATCTTTTATACACTAAGAGACTAAATTGATACAATTTTTACATTTAAAACTAAAATAATACAAAACTCATATTTTGAAATCAAAAATATTATTTAACTCCAAATTAGAAAACTATAAACAGAAAATAGTTTATTTTGAAAATCAATTAATGCATTTGAATTTTTTCAAAATCATTAGTTAATACACTTTGGATTTTTTTAGGACTGATTAAGAAAATCGACAAAATTGTAAATTAGTCTAATCTAGGTCAAAGTGTAGTATTTGATTTGATTTTTCTTAATGTATGGTTTGGTTGTGGTTTTTAAAATAGATAAATCTTACTTTATGGTTCAATTCATGAATTTATAAATATGATTCCAATTTGCAACTAAATCCAATAATTTAGATATATATACTTATATAAAATTTTTTATTTATGGTAGATACTTAAGTATCTCATTAATATTCTATATATATACTAGTAAAATACCCTATGTACGGGTTAAAATAAATAATTAAAAATTATTTTTTAAATTAAATTATAACAAAAACTTTATTTATAATATAAAATAAAATTTATTCAACATTAATTAGTTCCCATATAATAATAATAATATTTGCAATAAAATAAAAATATATTTCGTCTTGATGAATTTTGTAATTTTAGTTTTTCAATTTACCAATTATCTCATATCTATTATGTAAAATCAATTACCTTATCAATAAATCAAAATTAAAGAATAAATAAATAAAAAATAAAGTATCAGTGACCTCAATCTTCAACTCACTCCTCAAATATGATTTCAATGATTTCGATCCTGCTAGGCTGCTAGGTATAGCCTCTAAAACAGTCTCATTAAATATTAGGTAATTATAATTGCTAATATTTTAGAGGTTAGACCAATTGAATATTTTGCAAACCATATAGTCATTTTCTTAATTTGAACTCCATATAGATCACTTTTAATTTTTTATATTTTTTAATTGTTTTATATTAAAAAAATTTAGAATTTACATACTAAACAAATAAGTTAAACTGAATATGTACGTAAAACAATTTAACTCTAGCCCATAGGCCTAAGGTTTTTTTATTGTGTATTTGATTGAAAATGTGTTAGACCATTTTAATGGCTAGCACCTAAATCTCAATATTTATTCAGTAGGTAACTTGAGCCAAAATGACTACTTGGCTTATAGTTAGCATTGTTCAAATAAAAGGTAATGCATGCACTATATGTGAATTTTTAATTTTTTTTTTCTCATTTGTTAATAAATTTATGCATAATCACATTTCAAATTAGGATTTTATAAATTTTTCAGAGTTAATCGGAAACTTTAAAAAAAAATAGACATGATACATTATAAATATGTATGAAATAACTTTATTAATAAACCATTTTTATTGAAAAATTCTATACTTAATCAAATAGTTCTTCTGGCATTTGAAAATTTAATATTTTCAAATATTCCAAGCATTTTTCACATTTAAAATTTATGAATAAATTTATGTAATTTAAAAATTTTATACTTTATTAAAACTTTTAACATTACAGAATCAATTATTAAGTTTTATCAAATATGTTTTAAATTTAATCATCAACCTATTTTTTAAATAAAATTTTCTCATTCAAAATTTTGACAAATATTTATTTAGGAAAACTATCCACATGTTAGTGCACCATGTTCACAGTCATTATTAAGTTTATGTAACTTAGGCCCTAATCTAAATACACCTGGTATTTTTTAAATTTTGTTTAATGTTTGGCATGACCCATAAAATGGTTATAAATTATA